CCTATCTTCTTTACCCTAGTCACTTAACAGTAAGCCAAAAGAAGAAAAGCAGCCCGGACCTATTGAAATAATAAATCAAGCTCTTCACCAACTAATGCCCCTCGCACATATCTTGTCATAGATAGGTCCCCATAATGTGAACGTAATGTGAGAGCCGTCAGTAAGGGCTAGTAGCCCGGACCTATTGATTTAGCCAGAAAAAAGCGCTCATTGTCGTAGAGGGAGGGCGGGATGGTACACCTCTAACAATTTATTGCTGGAGTACCCTCCAAAGTCGTCATTTGCACCGTCAGACCTGCACATGCCTTCCTGAAAGGGTTGGGCCAAGCCCTATCGCGGCTAACTAGCCTAAGGCTAGCCTTCTTGGCTAGTTTTTTTAGGCTAGAAACCCTATAAGGAGGCCAGATACGCTAGCAACACGCCCCTAGATACACAAAACAAGTTAGTAAGGGGGTAGGACCTTTATTTAGGATTTTTCATGTATATATATATATATTTTATGATTTTTTAGGAATTAATTATGATTTAATTTTAATTTTAAAGGCCCAAAAATATTTATTTTGACTTCAAAATATTTTTAAAAATTTTAAACCCGCAAAAATATATTATTTGGAATTTAAAGAATTTTTTTCCCCCCAAAATTGCACTTTTATTAACAAGGCCCAGTGCAAGATAGTAAAAACAGGGACGGCAGGTTGTCCTGCCCCACCAGGAGCCCGGAGCCCCATCCCTGCGTACACAGTGTTTGCACTCTTTACCCTAACGCGGCAACCACCCTGCTACGAACACAGTTTCTAATCCCACTACAAAAGCAATTCTTCTTCCCTCCAACCCGATCACCACACTCCTTAACCCTAGCACGACACCAACCCTACCACAAAGACCATCTCCATTCCCATCAACAACCAACCCACATACAACACCCTACACATTCAAAATAAAAACTACCAGTTCAGATAACGAAAATTCCTATCGAACACTAGCCAAAACACACTACACATCAATTTGTGGCACCAAGGACAACCTGTCTAGAGAATCAAAGTATCTCCACGTCATTACCCCACCGCGAACGAAGCGCCGACGACATAACAAATTAGGGTCGCCCACCTATCTTAATTCCAATGCGTTCGTAATTCAAGCCCAACATCGCACCCACAAAGCATCGAACTAAACAGCAGCAACATACTGAAGTAGGGTTGCCCACCTATAAAAACTGAAGCCATTTTGTTCGAGCAAGGTATATCTAACCAAACATTAACGTTAACCCAGGAACAGGCATGTCAATGCCCCAAATACCCAAGAGCCATAGAAAGGACACATTGAAAAGGGAAATCCTACACACTAGACTAGAATAGGGAAAAAGAAATCCTACAAAAACACAAAAAGAGGAATCCTACAAAACACCAACTCTTACCCTACAAAACACATAACCTAAAATAGGAAATAGTCTAAACGCAGCACTACAATTCGAAAACAAAACT